AATGCCATGCACTTCCTGCGGTGGATGGCCCAGCAAATGAATGAGCCTTTCAGGTGCTCACCAGCAAAGCATAGTGTGCTGCGACTACGCGCAAAATGACGAAATATAGTAGAGTGCCAAACCCTGCAGGAAGTTGTTTCTTGGGGCACTCGCCCTCAGAGCCGCAGTTTGCGCGACTCTGCACAAAAGCCGACTGCTTCACAGCATGCGTTCGGGGATTTCGGCGCTTCAGTTGTGCGCAACTGTGTGTTCCGTGGGATCGGGGTTTGGGTTTTGGAGCGGCGTTGCATCTCCGAAGCAGTGAAACTCGGTCCGGGCTGAAACCATCAAGCCTGGAACTGTAGGAGCCACGATCATGGAAAGAATGGTTTGGGCTTGGGGCTGAGGTTCCGGATTTGGGGAAGGATTGAATCCGAGTAGTCGAGCTTTGAGCTTCGACTCTGCGAGTTAGGATGTGAGTTGTGCACCTCACGCCACAGCGCCACAAACTCCGCTACTACAACATGCCTTTGGCATATCCATCCTTTTTGACAGCCGCGGTACCGCAGGAGATCCCACATCCATGCCTAGCACAAACGGCTGAGAGCTTAAGGGCTTGAGGAGGGCTTTCTGATTTAGGGTTGAAGACACAATGGCTCGTAAATATTCAGTAAGTGGAAATGGACGTGCCCGGTCTGTAGGGACAATTACACAGGGGGACTACGGGTGTACACCTAGCAGCCATGCACTTCCTGCGGTGGATGGCCCAGCAAATGAATGAGCCTTCCAGGAGCTCACCAGCAAAGCATAGTTCCGGCTTTGCCAAATCCTGAGAAAATTTTTTGTCTCATAATTCTAAAGGGCTGCAGATTCCCGTTTGCCATAAAATGCTTTCGATGGACTGTCATCATTTACATCTGGCAGCCCTTTGAGGAAATGTAGTAGTAGTAGTAGTAGCAGTAGTAGTAGCAGTAGTAGTAGTAGTAGTAGTAGTAGTAGTAGCAGAAGAAGTAATCCATATGCAACACCATAACAGGCCCTGTTATGGCTCTTACAACTTATGCCCCCATTTCCAACCATGTATGAATAAAGTTTGAACGTTTGACGTTTCTTTGACCGGGAGCACCTGAATGGTGTGGTAGCTACTCAGGCCGACTGTTACTTGACCGACAAAAGGCTTTGCATTCGACGGAAGATTGCTGCGGCGGTTGATGGCAAGACGTTGCACAATGTGCAGAAGCCTTTCCATGTCAGCACAGCACATTGTAGCCATTTGGACTTGGACCTTTCTTTGTCACGATCTGCCAGATCTATATACGATAGATTGTCTGTGCTGCAAGCATTGTGCGTTACGAACAGCACCTCACTCTTTTATGATCTGAGCTTGCTACAGCGCAGCAGCGATTATAGAGGCATCGGCACATGCCTGTGACTGGAGGCGCGGCGGCTGAAGATCGAAGGCTCTTGTCGTAGGCTGGCAGCTGAACTTGCAACTGGACGGTTTCATCGCCGTGAGGAGGACGGACCCCTCAGTCACAGACCCGGCTTGGCTATGCAATCCTGTTCTGCTGTTCGGCGGTCAGGAGCCAGACGTGACGTCGCTTTTGCTCAGGCTGCACAGAATAGACATTCTGCTCTTGTCATGGAGTGAACACAGGCCTCAACACGGGGACTCCGCCATTTGCTTCCCAAGGCAGGGCCGGCCTTTTGGGGCTTTTGGGGCTCTTCTGCGTTGCTCGTTTATGTGCCTCGCAGGAGGGGGGCCTGAGGATACCTGGGAGCTGAGGCACAGCCTCCTGCAAGAGAGCTCTGCCAGCCAGCTTTGGCCTTGGCCTGGGCCTGAGGAGGACAGAAAATTCATAGATGGTACTGCGCCTCCTTACTCGCAAGGTTTCCGTCGCGGTGAGTGGCTGAGGCCTGCAGGCGATGCTAGAGGTCGCTTGAGGATGAGCCAATGTCTTGAGGATGAAACCGTCGGGGACTGCAACGCCTTCAAGGCTCAGGGCATGTAAACGTAGTGCACGCACCGTATGTGTGAATTCCCTCACGCCCAGGTGGGCTGCATTTGTTTTTTTCGCATTGGGTCGATGTTGAAGGTATCTTGCGCTCCAGAGCCTAGAGCTCCCATAGTTCGCTTGTGAAACTGTCAGCTCAAGAAGAAGCCAAGGGCGCACCAGCAGTCACACCGCAGGCAAGGGCTGATTTTTCCGGCTCCTGGACTCAGTGGGTGACCGGCTGCTAAGCAATGGCAATGCTCCCTCTAGCATTGCCATTGCTGCTAGCTCGGCATGCTCCCTCCAGCATTGCCATTGCCCCGAAGCACAGCCCATACACGGGCAAATTTTCGTGTTCTTTTCAGAAAAAGAGGCCCTGGGATCTTGCTTACGTTGTTTCCGGTCAAGAAGGAGCCGGTACGTGAATTCCCTCTTCCAGATGAAGCGGTGGTTTGCCTTTCACTGAAACTTTGAAAGCCAAGCTGGCTCGTTTCCGAAAAGTTTTGTGTGGCTCTATTACTTGATGATTTCTGCAACCAGCCTGGCCCGTTTGTTCCGGAAGGCTAGAGAACGAGTGTGCCGAAAGCCTCTAAGCAGCGAGGTGAGAAGTGATATCGTTGTATTCTCCACACACCCATTTACCCATCCAACCTCCATGCATGCATGCATGCATGCATGCATATTCATTCATTCATTCATTCATCCATGCATTCATGCGTTCATTCACCCGAAAACCGCTCTGAGGTTGGGTTCTCGGTTAGTGCTCCAGTGCGAGGTGCCTTGGCGGTTCAGAAGGCAGACGGAGGACGAACTTAGACGCGGGTGGTGGAATGACGGGAAGGGAGGGGTCAGACGGAGGAACGGCTGAAGGGGAGAGGTCAAGCGGCGCGGTTGGAGGGAGGATGGTTGCGTCGACGGCGTTGTGTGAGGGCGGCCGGGGCGGAAGGGAGTCAAACGGAGTACATTTTTTTCCCCCTTCACCTCCCCGATTTTCCGCTACCCCGCATGGCGCACGCCACCGCGCACCGTCAAACGACCTGCATGCATTCATGCATGTAGACATGCCAGCACGTGATCATATATGAAGTATATCTCCACAGATGCGGCTATACATCTATCAGTCTATCACTTATCATCCACATCAGCATTCATCCATCCGTACGTCCATCATATCATATCATCTCAAATATATAATACCATATCATACCACATCATACCCTATCATACTCTGTCGGATACCATATAGTACCATATAATACACCATATAACACCATACAGTAGCATATAATACTATATTAGGGGCTGCATACGCACGCGCGCGCATACGCGCATGCGCCCGCGCACGCATATGCGCATACGCCCGGGCACGCGCACGCATACGCATATACATACGCACGCATACGTACGCACGCATACGCACGCACGCATACGCACGAACGCACGCATACGCACGCACGCATACGCACGCACGCACATGCACGCACGCACGCATGCGCACGCACGCACGCACGCATGCGCACGCACGCACGTGTGCGCACGCACGCACGCACGTGTGCGCACGCACCCACGCACGTGTGCGCACGCACGCACG